ATAAATACATTATAGCAGCAATTGAGCAATATCACAAATCACAAGTAAAAGTTAAGTGTTACGGCCATATGAAACAGCAGGTACTTTGTTAACATATAGGCCTACTGTATACACACACACACACACACAGTATGCACACAGGCAGACACATTATAACATAAAATTTCCGTTAGAACGTTGCTAACGTAATTCAAAAACGTCAAGTTAGATTAATTAGCATTGGCAGTTTGGCCAATTTTTGAGAAATAGCCTAATAAGTAGGCAGTATGATTGCTTTTATACAGCAGTTCCATAAACAAGAAGTTCATATTGACTTACAGTTCTGACACAATTTGGTCAGATATGTTGTCTTCAAAATCCACAGGAGAGGAGAGCAGAGCAACGCAGTAGTGTTGTTCCTGAACGATTCAGTGTTTACGAATGAATCGATTGAATGATTCAATAAAACACCCGTAAAGACCGTTGGTGATTCTTGAACAACATACACACTACTTTTACTATGTCTGCTATAAAAAAAATATGGTAAAAAACTGTAATAATAGTGTGGCTACATAAGAATAGCACTATTCAGGTATTGTTTAAAAAAAGACAAATTAAAAATACATCAAATTACATAATAAATGCCCTCATAATATTTTTAATGCCTCCATTCATTCCACCAGATCAGTTTTACATTGTATTGTAATTTTTTTTTTTTATGCATTGTGTAATCTAAACCTGTGATCTAAATCTAAATCTGTGTATAAGATATCATGACTGAAATTTAGCAACACAAACATCTCCTCCATAGTGAACAGCAGTATCAGACAGACTATTTTAATTTTACAGTATGACGTCAACAAAGGCTTTCCTTCAATTTGCAAAAAAAGATTCTTTATAATATGCAGCACACACTCACTTCTCTAGAACAGAGGAGCCTAATAAAGCTGCACTGTTGATGGAGAAGAGAGAGATTAGGGGTCATAGTCCATAAAAAGGAGGATAGGGGGTTATATGGTTATTTGATGGAGGGATGGAAAGACTGAAAACTGGGCGAGGAAAGGGGGGTATTCCTGTACCCCATCTGTTCCCCTCAGTCACTACTAAGAAGATAGAGATGGGGTCAATCAGAGGGCAGGGGCTGGGTAGCTCATTTGCTGCATGTGAAGCCATGAAAGTCATCTAAAAGAGATTCATTAGTAATGTTAGGGGAGCACTGGCTGTACCCCACTAATTCCTCAGCAGCTGCGAGCCACGCATCTGGTCTGAGCCATGGGCCTGTGAATGGCCGTGATTCAGTGGGTGGGGCCGAAGTAGGAGGAGCCACTAAAATTATCTGTGATCTAGGCTTTTCTCTTTTAAGGCACTGGGCTGCCACTGTCTCCTCTCTTTTTACCGCGAGGGTTATAATTAGTGAGAAATGCCGAACGCAAATTTCTCAAAGAATTATTGAGAGGCCCGAAAGCGGCACAGAAAGATTTCCAGAAGCATGCGGTGGCCATAGCTTGTGTAAACTGAGGCCAAATCAAAGCATTTATGGTGTAATATATTATATTTAGAATAAACTTTCATCAAGCAAACACTAAATGATTCGTTAGTTTTACAGAAACCCAAAACCACCCCAATCACTCCCCACCGCCGCACAAGAATGAGGTGCCTTCTTTCTCCATGCGGACCCCCCTACCGAGACTGTATATCAAAAAATCAGTCAAGTGTCGGCATTCGCACATAACCATGTCTCAAAAAAGGATTTTAATTGGAGGAACTCGGCAGGAGCCGACACAGGAGCCCTTTCTCTGCGGGTCGCATGTAACAGGCCCCGCCATTGACCGGACTCTCCAGCCCCCGTGGCTGATATACGGCGGGCTTGTATTAGGATGGCTGTGCGTAACTTTGAGAGGAGAGGCTACGTAGATCAGCCCATCAGCGCAACTCTTGTCACCCTCCTTTTTTTTATGAGTCTGTTTTTTTTTTTTCCTGTGTAAAGATTTATGACAAGTTTTTTTTCTCTGCTATTTCATGGCTGTTTGAGTGGGGTTAGTTAAGCCCAATTCAACATGAAGACCTGATTGAGATGTACTAACAGACGCTACTGTAGTTGGCAGTCACGGGGGGAGGGATAGGTTGGGTACAGCAAAAGACGTTAGGAGAGGCAGAGGAATGTTTCAGGCCTGTTAAATAGCCGTCTGTCAAGCCGAGACGCTTGCCATGTTTGGGTGGAGAGCAGCTTTTAATGGGGAAAGACAATTTGGCGCTCTTTCTGAAAGACTGACTTTCAGTGAGTGCTTTACAGGCATCCAGCGTCTGTACACATGTGGTCGGACAACTGATAAATGGACAGGACAACTAATCTGAAAGGAAAACATTCTCACTTTAATTACCCCCTATCTTTAAGCTGTGTGAAAACTGAAATTATAGCTGTCAGGCCAAGTAAATACTGAATGCACAGCTTTTCCCTTCACAATTGGCATCTTGTGTGTTTGAGTGTGTGTGTGTGTGTGTGTGTGTGAGAGATTCATCCAAAGCCGTAATAGCAGTATCTGTAACGTAGAGAGATTTAGTCGTTCTAATGGTGTAAATGTCATTCTGACACTTTTACTGTCCACATGCACATGCCAAGGAGCTGACCTATGCCTGTGCATGTGTTACTGCAGGAAAAATTCTCAACAACGTTGCTGACCCCCACGCAGTGACGTGTCGATGTGTCTGAGGCCGTGTTCTGCTTATTTAACAAGAAATATCCATGAAACAATGAACACTGTTTTTAAGTACCAGTTAATATTCTGTCATCTCCCAAATGTTCTCCCTAAAGCAGGGCTGTAACCACTATATACACTTGGAGGGACATGTTTTCCCTGAAATTTTAAATAGTGTACGATTAATATGAGTTCTTTAATGTTGAATTCTTAAACTTTAACCCTCAATATTGAATCTTCGGCATTTGGTTAAAAATATATATACATATACGTTACATATACAGTATACATTATTAGTGCTTTTTGTCAGTTATAATTAATTGATTTATTTTGTCAGCAGGGTTATGCAAAATTCAGATCTATCTATGCCTATAAGCAAATTAATTTGAAAAAAATTCTTAATTAAATTCTCAGTCACACACAAACTTGCATATGCAGAACACAGTCTAAAGGTTTTTCTTCTAAACTGTTTGTCTTATCTTTATCACTGAGCCTGCTGTATTTAAAACACACCACCATGAATTAGAAATAGATTTGAAACTCATGATAATTCAATAAAGAAATTATTTGATTTAGTAAATCATATTAAAACAGGTGACACTGGAATGAACAAACACCAACAGGACTGTTTAGAATACTTAAGTAATCGATTAGTGACTGAGCGTTGACAGATTATTGGCACAGGATAAGGTATTCATTTCTTTTATTGAATTCTGCCTTTAGTTTCAACCAGGCTCCCATTATAAATAGGTCAGACTTTTGGTTGAACGGTTGATTGAGGCATAGCACAAAAAACATCTTTTGTTCCTTTTATTCACAATTATCAACATAATGGCCGTTATCTGCACCCTTTAGCGATGCTGATGGTTTATAGAGAGGGCTTTAATAGATTTTAGGAGGACAAAGGTAGGCAATGTTTAGCTGCACATGTCAGTCTTTTTGTGTGTAGGGAGAGTCTGCATTAAAAACCTCATTCACAAGGCTGGTTGATGTGTAATTAAATGTGATTACTGCCTCAGTCTGTGTGTGTCCTTTCTGAGGTCACTCGCACACACACACAAGCGCTGCAACACTCCGTCGCCAGGTTTCATCCCCCTTCCTTGGCTTCCTGAGGAGCCTGTGACTTTGGTGGCTGATGGGAAATTTTGTGCATGCCTGAGCTCACAAAGGCGCTCTTTCAGCCGCATGCATGCTTGACCTCTTGCAGTTCATCGCCCCGCTTTGTGCTCCCGTGACCTCGCGCCGACCAGGGGTTTCCCCTGGAGGTCAGCGGTTCAATCGGGTGCATGTGTCTAATTTCTTCCTGGCTACAGAATCTCTCCCCCCCCCCCCCCCCCCCCCCCCCCCCCCCCCCCCCCCCCCCCCCCCCCCCCCCCCCCCCCCCCCCCCCCCCCCC